ATTGTATTATCATGTTATATATTTAAGTAGGTTTTGTCAAACACTACAAAAAGTGTTTATTGGTTTATGACATTTTGTCGACACATAAGTTAATTCAAACAATTTTTTTTAAAAATTTTATTTTGCTACTGGATAAACTAATAAATACTTTTTTACCAAAAATGTTTTTTTTTTTTTTTTTTTGAAACTCAAATTTAATCACCTCAAAAAGCAAGGGTATATTTGGCAACACAAACAGACGGTTGTGGAAAATTGTTCGCTAAAAATTGTAATAAGGGTTATGAACCGATTAGTATTTTGAAATTAATAAATACTAAAATATATTGAAGAAAATGTAAAAACTAAATAATAAGTTCTAAATTTTTTTTTAATTTTCGCAAAACCGATTCCACAATAAAACTAAATGAAAATGACTGTTGTTACAAAATTTCAAAGATTTGGATATCATTAAAAGAAAATGATAAACCGCATGTATTATTTTTACAGTTTTGTCTTGTTAGATTTTGAAAATTATAAAATATAAAAAGTAATAAAAAAGTTCGGAAAAACTATTTAAAATAGTTTGAGTCAAGGTTTTTTTTTAAATAAATGTTTTAAATATTCAATTTTAAAAAAAAAAGTTATTTAGTTCATTTTCTTTATTAAAATTAAATTAGAAACCCATAGAAGTTTTTAAAAACAAACATATCTTTAGGGCGTTTATTTCATGGTTGTCAAAATCGCGATCCTGATCGTATGATCGTACGATCCTATGATCCTAGGTATGAAAAACGATCTGGATCGGAAAATGATCATATTTGAGGTAGGATCGCATGTAGGATCGTAGGATAGAGATCCTACCTTCTTTTGATTTTCCTTTTTTTTTTTGCAAATGAAAATTATTTTTACCAGTTTATGTCTTTTACCCTTTACCAATTTACCATTTATAATTTTATGTTGTGACTTATGACTAATATTTTGAAGTTTTTATAACTTTTGAACGAAAAATTAAATGTTTGAAATATTTTTCATGTTTAAAAATTATAAATTAAAATTATGTTTTATTTTGTAGGATCTTAAGATCCTGATCCCGATCTTACGATCTCGATCTTGCAAACCCAAAAACGATCCTACGATCCCGATCTTGACAACCTGGATTCATTCATACATATCAATTTTTTTCTATATATAATAATTTATACCGTTAAGTTTTGTATTATATAATTTCATAACATATAAATTGTTTTGTACGAAAAAAATTATTTTTTACCAGTGGCTGATAGGGCAATAACGTCAATATGACACCACATTTATTATCAACACTAAACGGAGGGAGCGAAGGACAGGTTATCGCGCTATACAAACATCCAAACAAAATTGCTTCCAAAATATTTCCTCCTTTCTTGGATGCATAAAACTTCAATCAAATTCTAGATTTTAATCAAATCGATTATAAAATGGGGTGTCTAGCAGTGTTCAGCTCTCTAATTCTCCCCGAGCCATGGCGATCGTCCCTCAATTACACCTCCTGTTCGTTACCTTCGGTTTCCCCCAACTTACGATGTGGCTGTCGAATCGCAACGAGGGTTCGCGATTTCAATTTCCGAAGACGAGGTTATCATCAGCTCAATTGCTCTCATAACGAAAACCCATCATCTTCATCTATGGAGAATGAACAGGAGCCCCCTCAAGAAGCTATTCTCAAGGCCATTTCAGGTCAATCAATTTACAGCAAACTGTTTCTGTTTTTCTTTTTTGTTTGAGTGGTGCATATGTTTTGGTGGGGAGTGAAATAAAGAATCTGAATTCTTCATTTGGAAATACGACGATCAATCATTTTAGGATCCAGAGATTTTAATGAATTTGTAAGAAATTCAAATCAATTTTTGTATGAACAATCAAAATTTAGGTCTTATTGTATAAAACAGAAAGGGGGTATTCAGTGTTCTTAACTTTTATTGCTTCTTATTCTTTCAGTTACCATGGAATCCTAATTCACATACGACTGTCTAAATGCTGAAGATCACAATTCACAGACCATAAAACTGTTTGTTTATGTATCAATTTATGTTGTTTTTTGATGTTCATGATCATCATTAAGGATTTACAGTTTATGAGATTATACAAAGTATCTGGGCATGTTACATTTTTGTAGTAATGGTGTCGTATCTAGCAAAACTAACAATTAAAAATATGATTCAGAACTTTCAAAGGCTAAAGGAAGAGTAGGAAAAACTACTAACATGGTTCTTGGAGGAACGATCACCAATGACTCCACCTATGAGTCTCTCAGTCTGAATAAAATGGTATATTTCTTCTCATTTTTTTTTCTTTCAAAACATGGAGTTTCTACCTCAGTTGCTTATAATTTCTGAAATTAAATGATATAGCTAAACATATACCCAGCTGCTCGAGGATTTACAGCCATTGGATCAGGAGGAGATGATTTTGTGCAATCCATGATTGTTGCTGTTGAGTCTGTAATTCAACATCCAATCCCACAGGTAATTCTAACTTCTTCTTGGATAAAAGGATCATATTTTTGTTGAATTCCTGATTTTGAACGTACTTTCAAAATTCATTTTTATAGGGCCGGGTGAAGCAGAAATTATCATCAGGTGGGAAATATGTGTCTGTAAACATTGGACCTGTTCAGATTGTTTCTAGCAAGCAGGTTAGTAATCATTATAGGTCAATATTTCCTTTTTGAAGGGAAAAAAAAAAGGTTTCAGATTTTTTATTTATATAGTTGGTGATTTTTTCAAGGTTCAAGCTGTATACTATGCTATGAGGAGAGATGATCGAATGAGATACTTTCTGTAGGTGGTGTATATACAACAACACCAATCATCTGGTGTATTGTTCATATTATCAAACATTTGTAAACGAAAATGATTGTGTAATTCATGGATTAGCAGATTAGGTTGTGGTGTAATAGCGCAAGTATTGTTTGAATTATGAATTTAGAAGTTATTGATTATATTATATGGGTTCAGTTTATGGAGATGAAGAAATGGGTCAAAAAATCAATCTCTAAGAGTTACACGTGACAGATATTTAATTAAAAGGGATAATATTTTTTAAACATAAGTCAAGAAAATTAAGGAGGTGTTGAACTGTTGATTGTACAAACAAAAATAGTTAATGACTTATAAAACAAAATTGACAAGGCTAATATTTTCATAGGATGGGAAATAATCAGGTACACCTCAAGACATTCTTACTGTACTGAATCATCGTTGTGATTTTCTTCCTGGCACGTGATTCACAATCATTGTAAAACACATTCCATGCAATGAAGAACAAACACTCATTCTTTTTAACTATTTAAAACATGAAGGTACTTTAAAAATTAAACGAAAGTTTGCAAATGATTAACCAAAAGTTAAAATATATGAATAAATTTTATTACAATTTTCTTTTGTAAAATATTTCGTATTTATTTATTTATTGTAAATTTATTTAAGCAACTTTTTTCCCATTGCCGTGAATTTGTATGTTTCATAGACCTATAGGATCTTGTTGAAAATTTACTCAAAAGTCACAAAATTTTGCAGTGTTTTAAAAACCGGTTTGAATTGGTGGATCGAACCGGTTGGATCGGAAACCAGAGAAATGAGCGGTTTAGAATATAAAAATGGGAAACGCAAATCGTTGGAGAATTTAGATCCCAAAATCAAATGCCGCACGTTTCCGTTTCATCTCTTTCAATTGGAAAACTTTCAAAACAGGTACCTGGAAATCTTCTATAGGTTACATTCGCCCGCTAGTGTTCCCAACTTTCAATTTTCTTTAACTTTCTACCCCCTTCTTCAATTTTCTTTGCATTTTCATCCGAAAGTAAAATAAAATAAATACTTATATCTGTTTTGCTTCAACCAACACAATCTTTAGAAATATATATATGCGACCCAACTTTCTATCTAACATAATATTCCTATCAACCTAAAAACCCAAAATATCACCTAATGGGTTCTCAGAATACATCTGAGCTTCGATTTTTTACAACTACTCATATAAAAGTTGTTCCTTTGGGTTCTTAAATCTTAACAGATTGTATATTTATGTGGGCAAATGGTTGTCTCAATATGTAATCAAAACCCTTGCAAAGAGTAGATGATAAATCGAACCACAAGATAACATATAGCAACGATATTTTAATCATACCAAAAATAAAAAGAAAAAGAGTTTAGAACATATGACTCATGATTGTATAGAAAGATAATATACTAAAAAGACTAAAAAGCCACACCACCAACGCTACGGTGGTTCATCGTCCTAGCAAAAACTAGTGCCGCCCTTCCCGTCGGTAACATTCCACGCCGGCGGAATCTCAAAATGCCATAACCGTCCGGTACCATCCTTCCTATTCTTCCGACACAAAAACTCTTCTGCATAAGCCTTCTCGACCTTCCGATCAACATCGTGCAAAAACACGTGCGTCACGCCGGGCTTTTTCCTGTTTCTCGCCATGACAGCGGCGGAGTAAATCGCCCCCATCCTACCGGGCGCCTCAGCAAACCAACCCCTCGGAGCATCGATCATGATGATATCCCACTCCTTATCATACACCGCGTCGGGCAAACCCGTAAGAGCTAACCGACACCGCGTGTTGCCCCGGATGTACGATTTGGTTGGAGAACATTCCGGTTCCGACCGATACGTTTTCATAAGGTCGTCGGCCTGAGAGAGCTGTGTCCGGTACTTAACGTTCACCGCTTTGAGATCCGGTGCGTCTTTGAGAACGGCTTGGACCCATTTCGGATCTTCTTCGAGAAATAAAGTTACGCCGCCGGGGTTAAACGACGCCCACATCAGGGAATCGTGACCGAGGCCAAAAACGAGGAAATTGCAAGGGGAGATGGATTTGAGAACGTTGAAGGAGATGGAGATCTCGTCGAGCGATTGTTGAGGGACGGTTTTGGACGTGGCGTAGTGGAGGATTGCCCGGAGTTGCATCGAAGCCGCCGAGGATTGGAAGTTGTCGAAGGCTCCGGTGCAGATGAGTTGGCTGGTACCATCGCCGATGAAGGAGAAAACTACAAGGCCGCCGCCGATGAGAGCAAGGAGGGAGAATGCGATGAAGATTTTCCGGTCAGGGAAGGGTCGTAGATTCATGCCTTTTATTTATTTATTTTCTATTTTTTTGGTTCAAAGAGAAAAACACGAAAAACAGGTTATCTAGTTTTCAAGATTGAGCCATCGACTTGAATGGTAGTGTTGATGTTGATGATGATGTGTGACACATGTTAGACATCCATTGGTGAATGAATGTGAAAACTCTATTGACTAAAAGGCCCCTAGACTAAAGAAGAATATCTAAGTTCTTTTAGTGAGAAATTTTGAAAAAGTTGTTTCTTTAATTTTATTAGTTTTTACTATTAATTTATTATTAAAATTTTTTTTTTGGAACGCCTTCTATATCGTAATCACTTAAAAATGTAATATACTTTTTAATTTGTATATATTTGATCACTTGAGTTTTTTCGTTCATATTTGCCCTTCAATTTGTCTAAGGCTGAGCGGTGTGCTAAAATTTTCACCGGTGGACACGTAGGATGAAAGTGACATATATGCAATTTTTACAAATGGTAATGGTGTGGTGTTTAGCATTACCATCGACAAAACCCAAACAAATTTGATTTTGTCGTCGGTGAAATACTACCGCCGGTACTATACCGGCGGTGAAAATGAATGAAGGGCGCGGTGTTTACCGCCGGTGAAATTGGAAACGTAGGCTTACCGCCAGTATGTCCTTTACCATACCGTCCAGCCTAACAGTACACATTTAGTATTATGACCGGCTACTCCAGCTAAGTCAGAAAAAATGACTTAATAGGGTTATATATTCCTCACTTTGTACACATTTAGTCCTTAATATTTTTTTGCACATTTAGTCATTAATATTTTTTTTTGTTGCAATATAAATTCTTGTTGTTTTTGTACACATTCAATACTCATGAACGGTTTCCTTAGGTTTCTTCTAACGACATCCTATATAGAACAATCATTAACAAGGTATTCAGGTCATGTTTATGGCCACTGCGGCCTTGATTGCTTAGTGCTTAGATTTTGTGTTCTAAACGTCGTAACTTCTTCATACGATCTCAGATTTTAACGATCTTTATATTTACGCGTTCGTATTTAAGTCTACCATGATTTTCTTTTAGATTACTCTCGTTAAAAAGTAATATGTTTTTACTTATGATCATTATATACATGTGTTCTTTATGAATGAACGTGTTGATATAAAGATTGTTAAAATTTGAGATTGTATGAAGAAGTTATGACTTTCAGAACACAAGACCTACGCGAAACACAAGACCTAAGCAATCAGGCAGTTAAGGTCGCGGTGACCATAAACATTAACATCCCCGAAAACTTCATTAATGATGGTCTCACATAGATTTTCATGTGAAAAACAAAAGGAAACCGGTCATAAATATTGAATGTGTACAAAAATAACAAATACTTATTTTGCAACAAAAAAATATATTAAGACCTAAATTTGCAAAAAAAAATATAAGGACTAAGTGTGTATAAAGTGAAAAATATATTACTGTAACGCTCCGAAAATACCACCCAAAAATTTTTGTTTAAAAACTTTACTAAGCCATAATATCAAATATTAAAAGACAAACCCATGAATCATGTATCTCAAAATGTCATAATAAATTTATCAATTCGAAACTAGTGTCAAGATCATATCAAACATCAGAGTCTAACTCCCATGCTAACACTGTGGTGCGTGCCATGCCATCATCCCGAGCCCTTCCCTTTGCTAGCTGAAGTACCTGAAACCAAAACT